GGAGAAAAGGGTCCGAGTCTCAGAACAGAAATGTTGGACACCCTCCAGGATACATGTACGATGTTGAAATAAATGGAATCTTTACTCACTGCTATTATTTATAAAACTATATTTTAAAAAATGTCACTTTATCTAATTGCTTTCTATGTGGTAGTTTCTAATTGACTTTTTTCCCACATAACTGTTCCCAATCCTGCTTTCTAACCCACCTCCTGGAGAGAATGCTTAGAAACAAAAACATTTTTTTTTTCCTGGCTAGTTTTCTTTTCAAGGAACAAGGCAAGAAGCCCCTGCCTTGCTGAGTTTCTTCTTCATTATATATCAGGTTTCTTTTTGGTTGGTACAAGCCTCTTCTGAGTAGCTTTCAGACCTAAGCCATGTGGCATTTAAACTAATTTTGTCTCCCTCTACTGGTTCTGTGATTTACATGTCCTGGACTGGAGTAACACAGACCAAGAGAAGAATAAGGAAGCTCCAGGATTCACACAATCTCTTGGATTTTCTATAAGACTCAATTTATAGTGATTGTCAATTCATCTTTACTTCAAGGATGTCCATAGATGGACTCTCACTAATGTTCTACTGATTGTCACAAAATAGCACAACTGTGGATATTGTAGAAGTTTGTCTTTGATGCCAGTTTTAATACCCTGGCATTTAATTGCCCCTTGGTGCGGGGTGTGGTGGTACACCCCTGTAATCCCAGCATTTGGGCAGCTAAAAAGGAGGATCCCTGTGAGTTAGAGGTCAGCCTGGGCTACAAAGTGAGCTGAAGGCCAGCCTGAACTGCATAGTGAGACCCTGTCTCATTTAAAAAAAAAATTTTTTTTTTCCCTCTGTTTCTCATATATCACCTAGTTTATTTCTTCAAAAGGTTATCCTGGGCCCCAATTACTCAATGGATTTCTACCCAATAATTTGAAATAACTTCACAAAATGCTTAGATCAGCTACCCTGTATTAGTGCCAAATTTATAGAGAAAACTCTAAAGACTAGAAAGTATAAGTGCCTTTCTGAAATTAACGTTAAAATCAGGATGTGAAGTCATGTTATGTGTGACATTGTGCTCTCTAGGTGGCAGCTGGTTTGCAAGCAGAGCTAAAGGTGGAGTTATTTGCCATGGCTGCTGGAGAGGATGGTGTCAAAGGATTATCACATATCACTCACAATATTGAGATTATGACCGAACATGATGTTATGTTCTTACCTGTGGAAGCAAATATCCTTTAAAGTTCAATTTGAGTCATTACCTATAGTGTGTAGATTATGAGTGAGGAACACGTAGAAGCCAAAATGCCTCTCTGTGTCTTTGTTAGTTCTGTATATAAAAATCATGAGTCACTGTACCATTCATTTTTATAGCATCTAGTCAAATCTGAAAGATACCTGACTCATGGTACGTTAGCAGTAACTACAAGTTAGATAGATGTCAGTATCATTAGCTACCTCTGGGGTGTCTAACAATCAGAGTAATAAAAAAGCAAGCTTGTTAATCTTTGAAAACTGTAATCTTACTGAGACACGAGATATATCTTATTATAATAGCTTAATATTTATCAAATTGCACATACATCCTTTCATACCAGTGCCTGTACCCTATAAGTATCATATAGATAGCTAATACTCATTATTTGCAAAATGCTGCACTATAACATTTTATCACATATATAAATGGAGGGGCTGGGGTGGTACTGCCTGCCTAGAAAGTGCAAGGTCCTGAGTGTGACCCCTAGTACTGCATGCTAGGGAGGCATATCAGAAAAAAAAGAGAATCACAAATACAAATGGAAGGGGCTGGTGAGATGGCTTGGTGGTCTAAAGCACCTACCTAGAACAAGCTAAGCAAAGCACAGGGACCGCGGTTCAATCCCCCAGCACCACATGCCAGCCAGCCCGGCCCCCTGGTGGGCTGAGCTGGCCACACACACACACACACACAAATAAAAAAAAATTAAAAAAAAAACAAATACAAATGGAAAACTGGACTCGTTCTTAGAATGCATTATATAATAATCCTATAATCCAGTAGCAGAAATAAAATCTTTGCCCTTGATTCTTGTAGTATTTCTTCTGTTTCCAGTGACATAAATTATATACTACTTGCATTATATATTTTTTTTGATTTTTAATCTGGGCCTTAGAGAACAGGAAAAGTTCCAAGGAAAGCAAGCTTTAGATACAAGGATGAACAAAACCATGGCAATAGGAAACCTCTGGTTTTTGGAAGGATTAACAGGGAATTGAATTTGCTGAACACTTCCAGGGGATTAGAAATACAGTGAGAATATGGATTGGAGTCAAGTATTGGAACTCTCAAATCCTAGACCTACACTTTAAAAGTTAAGCAACAGTGAGCCACTAAAGATCACTAATCCAGTGGGAAATCTGATCAGCACATCTCCATAGAAATGAATCTGGTGTTATTGTGAAGGATACATTGAAGAATTAGGGTCTAAAAGACTCATTAGAAGTCTACTTCAGTAGCCAAGTATGAAGGCAAGAACTGCAGGGAGCAACAGTAGATGTGAGTGAGGAGCAGGGGTGGCAGATAGGGGAGTGGAGGGGAAACTGCAAAATCCAAACTGGAACCCATTTACAGAAAAATGAAAGAAGCCATGAGTGCGACTCCTTGGCTTTTCATCAGGTATGAGTCAGTCATTGATAGATAGGATTGGATCTTATTTGAGAAGGGAAGGCTGGAGAAAGAATGACCTTCAGCACCCCCTACATAAAGACAATAGCTGAATGCAGGACTGGAACAGAGTTTTGGCTTCTTAGGCTGCAGGAAGAATCAATGGAGACAGATCAAACAATAAAAGAATGAAATATATCTTATAAACCACATAAAGAATTTCAAGGAAAAGATGGATATAGTTGACTTATGCTATAGAAATGTCAGAGTGAATTAAGACAGATTTTCATGGGGCAAAAACTAAATTGCTAAAGATAAAGAATGACTGGATGTTCAGGAGGCATAAACATCAGATATTGATAGTTGTTCAAAATGCTTATTAAAGAGCAAGGGAAAAAAACCTTCAATGATACAATGGAATGAAAGAGAGATTTTCAGTTTATAGTAGACCTAAGTATGCTTGTAGGTAGAAGAGGATGGATCAGAAGAAAAACTTTAAACATACGAATGAGTGGAACTGAAACTGCAACCTCCAAAAGAGGGCAAGAGAATAATTTTAAAAGAGATGAAGAGTTGAACTTGGCGAAGGAGTGAATGAAGGTGGTAGAGAAATAACATATTCTCAGACAGAGAAAGCTAGGGGAACGTGTGTTAGATGATTCTGATTTTAAAAGAAATGGAGCTAAATTCATTTGCTCACTTTTTCTTTCAAGGACATTAAGTGCCTCTAATGTGTCAGGTGCTGCCCTCATCACCGGGGACACAGCAATCAGCAGGAGACAGAAACCCCTGTGTTTATATAACATGCTCCCACTGGAGATGGGAGAGCGCACAACATAAGCGAAATGTGGTGAAGGCATCGCATGTGAAGGCAATGAATACAATGAGGACTATAAAACAGGAATGGGGTTTAGAGAGTGTTAAGGAGAATGACAATTTTAAAAGGTGCTTTTTCATCATGACAGAACACAGACCAAAGAAACAGGCTTCTTTCCCCGCCCCCTCCCAAGAATTAAATCAAGCCCTCCTGCCCTCTTTATATAGAACGTTATTAAGTGCTGATCCTGCCTTTTTGAACACTGTTTGCCAAACTCAGAAATGAATTCATTTTGTGCTTGTGCCAATACATTTCCTGTTTATTTTCTTACAGAGATAACTTATCAAGTTAAGTACAAACAGGGAAAAATGTATTAGGTCTTTTTTCTAATTTCAGGGTCAACAATGATGACTAGTGGGCTAGTTCCCAGCCCACTTCTTAGGATTTTTCTCCCCACCCCAAATATCAAATTGATATTGTTTGAAGCCTGATTATGATGATGATTGCTTATAAAAAGGCCAGTCACAATAAGGAGAGAAATGTAAACTGGGTAAAAGACACTGATATTTATTGTCCAACTCCTCTACCTGTGTATGTAGAATTTGCACATTAAAAGCACTTAAGATTTGCCTAACATTGCTACAGATAAGATTTTGAGATTCTAAAGTGCTATTTGGGTTCAAATATATAAATCATTTCATCATGCAAATCATGGTCCTTCCTTAACAAGTATTTTACCAGTTTTATCAGGCAACTATTATGATAATCGACCAAAAGACTTTCCCCAGGGAAAGGAAAATCCCACGGTCCAGAGGACGTCTACAATTCCTTCTGCTGCACTTGGAGTCTTCATGTCTCGTACTATTCCTCCACGTTAAGTCCAGTGAGTAATACATGAGAATTTGATTGTTAACTGTTCAAATTTAAGACCTTCGACCTCCTTTTTGTTCCGTTTCTTACGGCCAGAAATTAATAAATGACTTAAATCTGAATGACTGAAAATATTTGTTTTCAATAACTATAACATGGTAGTTATCTTTGTATACCAAATTTGTCATGCTACCTATAAAGTAGATTTTGTTTTCCTACCTTACAGATAATGAAACAGAGGCCAATTAATCTTAAGTGGAGTTATAGATTCAACTTACTTTGTGATAGTAAAGATCATTCTTTTAAGCATCATTTTCATTCTGCAGATGAAAGTTGATCTTATTCTCCGTAAAGTTGGAACACAAACATAAGGTGCCATGTGGGCTTGGGAATTTATAATTAAGCCAGTAGTTTTCAAATTTTTCAGATCCAGGACAATACAAATGTTATATTATTTAAAAAAAAAAAAAACCCTGAGAATCCCCAAGAACTTATTTATATATGGATGAAATCAATCAGAATTTAAAACTGGGAAATTTTAAAATTTATTTTAAAAAGTAATAAATAGTATATTAAAATAAGTGATATGTAGCTGTTGGACAACTCCATCCTATGTTTATGAGAGATTGAGAAAAAAAGCAATGGCATCTTGTATTGGTTGCCTAGGGATGCTATAATGAAGGTGGTTTAAAAGAAAAGGATGACACAAACCAGGTGGATTAAAACAAAGATACTTATTGTTTCGTAGTTCATGAAGCCAGAGGTCCAAAGTCAAAGTGCCAACAGAGTGGGCTCCACCTCCCTCCTAAATTCTGCTGTTCTGCAGTCCTGTAGCACCCCCACTTACAGCTGCATCGCTCCAGTCTTTGAGTTCTTCCCTGGCATTTGTCCTTTATGTTCCTCTGCGTGTATCTCTCTAGCCTTTTAAGGGCTCATTCCTTCAATTTAGGGGCTACACTAATCCTGATTGATCTTGTGTTTACTTGATTATACCTCTAAAGACTTTATTTAGAAATAAGATAACATTTCCAGGTTCTGTTAGACATGAATTTTGGGAGGACAAACTCACTACTTATCTACTCTGTTTTCCCTCTTGATTTGTCTTCAAAATAATTCTACTACCCCCAAATTCCCAAGTCTTAACCCATTTCAGGAATAATTCTAAATCAAAAATTTCACCTGCTACCAACTTCAAAAGTTAAATCATCAAGTATGGATGAGAATGCATCCTAGCCTCCTCTCTATCCAAATAAAAGTAGAAAACAAGCTGCCAGCTTCTCAAATATAATACAGTGGTGGGACAAGCATAGGATAAACAATCGCATTCCAAAAGAGAGAAAATGGAAGTAATAATAGTGTCAGAAATGTATAATCCAACACACAAATTCCATTAGGTTTCAAAGATGGAGAGTAATCTGTGGTTCTGTCTGTCCTCTGTGATCCTAGAGGATCCAACAAGCCCAGCCTCCGGGTCCTAAGAAGCTCCCTCAGATGCATCCTCTGGGTTGCTGGGCAAAAGTTCCACAACCTTTCTTTATTTCACCCTGTCTCTGTCTCTTTTGGTACAAGCTGGCAATGTTTTTATCAAGATAATGTTCCCTAAAACGTGTCAGTCTTCTGTGAATGTGAGGGGGACCCACATCATTAGATATCAGAGTGCTGCTCAGATTCTCCCTGGACGACCTATATTCCTGGATTCTGTTGACACGGCTGGCTGGGGGTCACAGCAGAATCTGTAACAGCCTACCATTCCGTGATTTCCCCAGAACTTGCCTTAGTAGCTGTAATGGTTAATATATTATGTCAACTTCAGAAATACATCCCCAGGGAATAAAAGCCATGCTCTGGGGGGTGGGGGCTGTTTTACCCTAGGATGTTGTAATGGAGTTTAGAAGTTTAACCAAGTGACTCAACAGGGGCCACAGTCCTCACTTTGTAAACATGCTGAGCCTGGGCAAGAGGAGGTCAGGAAGATGGTATGAGTGGTAGCCAGCATTCAATACAAGGGAGGAAAAGGGGTCTGCTTGCGCCTTTTTATGGTCTTGTAGCTTTTGTTTTCTTCTGCTGCAATGAATGTTTGCCCCTGTGCCATGCCGCTCTGCCTTGGAGCCAGCTCATTACAGACTTACACCTCTACAAACTGAGCTAAAGAAACCTTTCATTCCTTAATTTTGGGCACCAGGTATTTTGTCTCAGGAACAAAAGAAAAGTAACTAAGATAGCATCTTTTGCAAATATGGAGTTTGATAGAAAGACTGAATTTTTCAAATAACCATTCTTGTTCCTTTTTAATGAACAATTCCTTCCTCAATTTCTTCATGTGTTTCACTTCAAGAGACAGGAAACCCAGTCCACACCTTACATATTTTGCTTGGAAATTTTCAGCTGAATATTCATTATTTATTAAATTATACCTTCCACCTAACAGAACTCTGAATTTGGCGAGGTTTTCTGCCACTTTGTTTTTTATTTTATTTATTTATTTTTGGTGGAACCAGGGATTGAACTCAGGCCCTTGCGCTTGCCAAGCAAGCACTTATTCTATTGAGCCATCTCCCCAGCCCCTTCTGCCATTTTATAACAAAGATTACCTTTCCTCAAGTGTCCAATGACTTGTTTCTTATTTCTAAGGCCTAATCAGAAGCATCTTTAATGTTCATATTCCTACCAATATTCTGTTCATTACAGAATATAAATTCTCTAAGACGATAACTTCCTCTACTGTCCTCTTTGCATCCTTTGGAGACCTCACCAGAATCGCTCTTAGTGTCTGTGTCTCTCTTTCCTTATTTTCCTTTCCTGTTTCTTTCCTCTTCTGTCTTCAGTCTCTCCCTCTCTTTTTTTCCTTCCTTCCTTCTCTCCTTTTTCTGCATTGTGTTTGCTTTGAGTTAATTGTATCGATACTCTGTACCTGCTCATGAATAAATGGTGCTGAAAATCTGAAGAATAATGCAAAAGAATGGCTCTTGATTCAGAACTTTCAACCTATCCTAAAGTTAAATCAAAACGGGTCAAAGGGGGGCTGGTGAGATGGCTCAGTGGTCTAAAGCACCTACTTAGAACAAGCTTAGCAAAGCACAGGGACCG